CCAAAAAAAAAAAAAAAAAAAAAAAAAAAAAAATTTACATAAGGCTCAAAGTTTCCTATTATAATGCTCAAAACACCATGATACAATCGAAAATAACCAAAGAAAACACAACTTGAATTAAGAAAAGCAATCAATTGATGCCAATATTGAGACAAATCAGATATTGGAGTGACCTGGCTAGTATTTTAAAGCATCCATCATAAAAAATGCTTCAACAGCAATTGCAAATTGTCTTGAAACAAACAAAATAGCAGAAAATCTCAATGAAGAAAAAGAAGTTATAAAAAAGAAGCACATGGATACTGCAGAACTAGAAAACACAGCAATGCAAATAAAAGAACTCACTGGATGGTCTCAGTAGAATAAAAGAGAGGGCAGAGATCAGAACCAGTGAACCTGAGCGCTGATCAGTGTGTGGCACCCAATCTGCACAACAGGGAGAAAGGAGATTGATAGGAAAATGAACAGAGCCTCAAGTACCTGTAGGACGGTAATAAACAATTCCATATTGGTGTCATTGGAGTCTTTGAAAAAGAGGAGAAACCGAGTGGAACTTGAAAGAGTGTGAGAGGAAATCATGGCTGAAAACTTCCTAAAATTGTAGAAATACAAAATCCTTCAGACTCAGGAAGCTAAGCAAACACTAAATATAATAAACTGAGAGAAATCTACATTAAACCAAACCATAATAAAACTTCTAAAATCTGAACACAATAAAAGCTTAAAAGCAGCTGAAGAACCATGACATGTTACCTCTAGGGAACACCCACTCAAAGGTTAGCAGATCTCTCATCTGAAACCCTGGGAGCCAGAAGAAAGCAGCCTAACATTTCTCATGATGTAAGAAAAGAATTGTCATTGTGAATTCTGAATTTAATGTAAATATCTTAGAAATGAAGATAAAATAAAGACATTCTCAGATGAAGAAATACTTTAAAAAATGAAAATATGGGAGGGAATCTTGGAGCATTGGGAAGGAAGAAAAAAACAAGAGAAAGGGCAGAAATGTTGGTGAACGCAACAGACGACCCTGTTTTCCATGAATTTTATAAAATATATTTCATAATTAAAACATAAATCATAACACCATCTGACAGTTAAGACGATGATATTTAAAAGCAGAGAAAGTAAAGAGACCTGAGTTGAAGTGGGATTTCCACACGTGACTTGAAGTGGAAAAATCTCAATGCCAATGAACTGTGATAAGCCATGTGTGTATGTCTGTATTGTAATATCTGGAGCCAGATGTTCTTTGTAAGAACATCATACAAAAAGATATACTCGAAAACACTATCAATAAATCGTTTTATAGGATGGGTATCCTAGTATCACGTATTAGGGTGAGGATGCTCAAAAATGTTTAAGTAATACACAGGAAGGCAAGAAAAGAGAAACAGAAGACACAATAGCCAAAAACCGGGAACAACACAGATGTCCCACAATGTGTAAATGGTTAAAGAAACTGTGGACCATGCATATCAGGGAATGTTATTCCGCAATAAAAATGAATGAACTACTGATATCTGCACAACATGGATACCTCTCTAGGGAATTCGGCTAAGTCTAAAAAGTCAATCCCAAATGATTACATACTGTACATGTGTACAACAATCTAGAAATGACAAAATCATAGAAATGAAGAACTGGTTGGTGGCTGGCAGGGGTCAGGGACTTAGGGGGAGTGGTATAGGAATTAATGGGTGTGGCTATGAAAGGTAAAGCAAGAGACTTTGTGACTGTTCTGCTTCAGTGCCAGTGATGAATACACAAACCTATACAGGTGCTAAGACTGCATAAACTAAATATACACATACACACACACACACACAGAGCAAAATGGGAAATTGGAAGATAAGTGAACTGTATCAATGGCAGAATCCTGTTTGTGATACTGCATTACAGGTAGTTTCATGAGATGTTACCATTAGGAAACCAAGTGATGGCTACACCAATCTTTGTGTTGTTTCTTACAAATGCATGTAAATCTACCACTCTCTCAAGATTAAAAACTTAATTTTTAAAAGAACATGGAATTCTAAATAAAGAGGTGCTCACTGACCACTGATGGGTTCATTTGAGCATCGAGAAGAATAAAGAGTGCAATTGACTGAAATATATTAACCATTTTTAAATCTAAGAATTCATAATCATATTGTTTAATTGATCATCTTCAGAAAATTGCAGGGAATCAATGAGGCTCAGAGCTCATAATCCCATCTAAAAGTGTGTCAGGATTCTCAGATATCCTGTGATTTAAAGTCTTATTTCCATTTTACCTCATTAGGATAAATGTCTTAGGTTTTGGTCTCATTTATACACCACCTACTAACTTTTGATTTTGGAAAATGATTTTTTATTATTATACTTTAAGTTCCGGGGTACATGTGCAGAACATGCAGGTTTGTTACATAGGTATACACATGCCATGGTAGTTTGCTGCATCCATCACCCTGTCATCTACATTAGGTATTTCTTCTAATGCTATCCCTCCCCTAACCCACCAGCCCCAGCTATCCCTTCCCTAATCCCCTACCCCGCAACAGGCCCCAGTGTGTGATGTTTCCCTCCCAGAGTCCATGTGTTCTCATTGTTCAACTCCCACTTATGAGTGAGAACATGCAGTGTTTGGTTTTCTGTTCTTGTGTCAGTTTGCCGAGAATGATAGTTTCCAGCTTCATCCATGTTCCTGTAAAGGACACAAGGTCATCCTTTTTTATGACTGCATAGTAACTCATGGCATATATGTGCCACATTTTCTTTATCCAGTCTATCATTGATGGACATTTGATTTGGTTCCAAGTCTTTGCTATTGTGAACAGTGCCACAATACACATAAGTGTGCATGTGTCTTTATAACAGAATAATTTATAATCCTTTGGGTATATATCCAGTAATGGGATGGCTGGATCAAATGGTATTTCTAGTTCCAGATCCTAAGGAATCACACCACACTGTCTTCCACAATGGCTGAGCTAATTTACACCCCCACCAACAGTGTAAAA